CTTATATATATATATATATATTTCTTACCCTAATATGAAGTGAACTCAAATTAGGGGAACTCTTAATTAACTGTAGAGCGTAAGATATCTGACCCATTTTGTCGAAGTCTACCCCTAATGATACAGACCAATTGAGCATAAAAGGAAGCCCAATCTGGAACTATGTTTGCACTCAAAAGCTTTGGAGAAAATAAAATAATTAGAATCAATTGAAATATGATCACTTTCAGATATTCAAGTGAAACATGTCAATTTCTTACCTCAAGGACATCTATTCGTTTTATGGGGAGACCAATAAGGGTGGCACATCGCAAAAGATTTGATCTCTGTGGCAGAATGAGCTAAAGCTGATGGAATTTGAAAGTTATTCCTTTGAGGAAGTGAGTTTCCACGACTCTTTGTTTGTATAATAGAATCCAGGTTGATATCTTGAAAACTTTTTTTTCTAAAATTTTAATATGACTTCATATACGTTCCCTGTTTCTTTTGTTACCTATGTTATCCGGATTATGTTCTGTTTCCTATCTCTTCTTTTTGTTTAGCTGTGAGGACAAAATATTTAATCGGTATAAGTTTCTAGACAAATGTTCACGATAATTGAATGCAATCCGAAAGTGACATATCCTAAAATTTTCCTTATCTCTATTTCTCTAATTCTTTTTATTATCTATTTGATTTAGTCGATAAACCATCCGATAATCACTAATTTGTTACCAATCCGCCTTATGTCTTATTGATTGGCTAGCGGATTACTACATTTATAAATCAATAACCGATACGCCAAACTGTTAAGCGTAAATATCTGCCCAATCCACCCGATAAGCACCCCTAAACCCAAATAAAGTTCCTCAAGTGAAGACAAGCTAAAAAGAAGTTTTCCCAAAGTTGATCTCTCAATATGTTTTGGATTATCAACCACTTTTCTAATTTCAAGTGATAGCGCACCCAATTTTTTTGCAATTTCAAAAGCACCATTGATATTTCGCCGGTAGTGTGAAAGGCTACGGCACCATTGCCTAAGACTCCACCTCCATACCCTCAAAGACTTGCCAAGAAAAATGGTGAGAATCAATTTAAGAAGTTCATCCAAATGATGAAGAGTCTCTCAATCAATGTGCCATTACTTGAAACTTTGGAACAAATGCGCGGTTATGCAAAATTTATGAGGGATCTTGTAACAAAGAAGCGGTCAATAAATTTTAAAACCATCAAAGTCACTCATCAAGTAAGTACAATTGTGCATTCAATGGATCCTAAGTTGGAGGATTCCGATGCTTTCACGATTCCTTGTACAATTGGAAGTGCCGAGTTTGCTAAAGCTCTTTGTGATCTTGGGGCAAGTATCAACTTGATGCCCTATTTGATTTTCAAGACTTTGGAAATTGGGCAACCAAGGCCCACTTCTATGAGATTTCAAATGGCCGATCATACTATGAAGAGGCCCTTGGGAGTGATTGAAGATGTTTTGGTTCGTGTTGATAAATTCATTCTTCCGGCGGATTTTATCATTCTAGATTGTGAGGTTGATTATGAAGTGCCGATTATTCTTGAGAGACCTTTCCTTGCTACGGGTAAGGCTCTTTGTGATTTTGAAGCCAGAGAACTTACTTTCCGGATTGGTGATGAAAAAGTGGTATTCTATGTGTGTAAGTCCATGCGGCACCCAAATCACAATGAGGTGTGTTCTTTTGTGGACTTGGTGACCGATGTTATAGTTGATGAAACAAGTGCTATAATCAATGTTGGTGATATGTTGGAGGTCGTCTTGCTCAACTTTGATGATGACGAGATGGATGGCTTCATGGAATGTGTGAACTCTTTAGAAGGAATGGGGTGTACAACTATGCACCCCGAAAATTATCCTTGGTTCTTGAAAATATGACAACTCCTCCTACCAAGCCTTCTATTGAAGAGGAAGAAGGCTATTGGGTGGACCTTGGCAGATATTCGGGGAATAAGCCCCAACTTTTGCATGTATAAGATCAAGTTGGAAGATGGTAGCAAACCATCTATTGAACATCAAAGAAAACTCAATGAGGCTATGCATGAAGTTGTCAAGAAGGAGATTATCAAGTGGTTGGATGTTGGGGTTGTCTATCCCATCTCTAATAGTTCATAGACTTCTCCGGTTTAATGTGTCCCAAAGGGGGGAGGGGGGCATGACTATGGTCACCAATGATAAGAATGAGTTGATTCCTACTAGAACGGTGACTGGTTATAGGGTGTGTATGGACTATCGCCATCTCAACAAAATCACAAGAAAGGATCACTTTTCACTTCTTTTCTTAGATCAAATGTTCGATAGATTAGCCGGCCGTACTTTCTATTACTTTCTTGATGGGTAATCGGGCTACAACTAAATTCTCATTGCTCCGGAAGATCAAAAGAAAACAACCTTTATATGTCCCTATGGTACTTTTGCTTTCAAGGGGATGCCATTTGATTTATGCAATGCACCGGCCTTTTCAAAGGTGTATGATGGCTATTTTCATGGACATGGTGGAGGACTACCTTGAACTTTTCATGGATGACTTCTCGGTGGTTGGAGATTCTTTTGATGTTTGTCTTGCAAATTTGGACAAAGTGTTGGCTAGATGTGAAGAAACAAATTTGGTGCTCAATTGGGAGAAATGCCATTTCATGGTCGAGGAAGGCATTGTCCTTGGACACAAAATCTCAAGGAATGGAATTGAAGTTAACAAAGCAATGATTGCGGTGATTTCTAAGCCTGCACACCCAACTTCGGTGAAGGGTGTGCGGAGTTTCTTAGGCAATGCAGGTTTTTACCGGTGTTTCATCAAAGACTTCTCTAAGGCGGTGAACCCGTTGTGCAAGCTTCTTAAGAAGGATGCTAAGTTTCATTTCAATGATGATTGCATGAGAGCTTTTGAATTGTTGAAGCTCAAGTTGACAACTACTCCCATCATCACCGCTCCAAATTAGAGTGTGCCTTTTGAACTCATATGTGTTGCAAGTGACGTAGAGGTTGGGGCTGTTTTGGGGCAACGCATCAACAAAATTTTTCATCCGGTTTACTATGATATTAATACCATGAATAGTTCCCAAGTCAACTATATCGTTATGGAGAAAGAGCTCCTTGCTTTTGTATTTGCAATTGAGAAGTTTCTCCCATATTTGATGGGTGCAAAAGTCATTGTCCACACGGATCATGCGACGCTTCGTTATCTTATAAGCAAAAAAGACTCCAAAGCTCAGTTGATGAGATGGGTGCTCTTGTTATAAGAATTTGATATTGAGATCCAAGATAGAAAATATAGTGAAAACCAAATGGCGGACCACTTGTCTCATTTGGAGGAGGAGGGGAGGCCGTATGATGGCCTTGAAATCAATGACTCCTTTCATGATGAGAAACTCTTGGAAATTTTAATGAAATAGGTGCCATGGTTCGCGAATTTAGCAAATTTTCTTGTATGTGGAATCATTCCGGATGAGTTCTCTTCAAGCCAAAGGAAGAAGCTCAAACGAGACTGTCAGGATTATTATTGGGATAAACCACACCTTTTTCAGATTTGTATGGATGGGGTGATTAGAAGATGTGTACCGAAAGAAGAGCAAGGTCAAATTCTTGATGCTTGTCATTCTTCACCATATGGTGGTCATCATGGTGGAGCAAGAACGACAGCCAAAGTGCTTAGTTGCGAATTCTATTGGCCTACTCTTTACAAAGTTGCTAGTGAGTTAGTGAAAAGATGTGATAAAAGTCAACGGGCCGGTGAAATCTCAAAGAAAAATAAAATGCCTCTCACAACTATTTTGGAGATTGATATTTTTGATGTGTGGGGTATTGACTTCGTGGTCCCTTTTGTGAGTTCTTGTGGAAATACCTACATCTTGATCGCGGTGGATTATATGTCCAAATGGGTTGAGGCCGTTGCTTTACCTAACAATGAGGCGAGAAGTGTGGTGGCTTTCTTGAAGAAGAATATTTTCACAAGGTTTGGTACTCCACGTGCAATTATAAGCCATGGGGGGTCACATTTTTGCAACAAGGGTTTCGACACTTTAGTTAGCAAGTATGGTGTTACTCACAAAGTCATGACTCTCTATCACCCACAAGCTAGTGGGCAAGTGGAAGTCTCCAACCGGTAGATAAAGAGTATCTTGTCCAAAACAGTAAATGCTAATCGGACGGATTGGTCCAAGAAGCTTGATAATGCATTATGGGCTTATCGGACGGCTTACAAAATACTTATCAGAATGTCTCCATACCGTTTGGTGTTCGGGAAAGCTTGTCATCTTCCAGTGGAACTAGAGAACAAGGCCTCGTGGGCTCTAAAGAAGTTGAATCTTGATTGGGATGTAGACGCTAACTTGAGGGTTGCACACTTGAATGAATTGGATGAGTTCCGGTACCATGCTTATGCGAGTTCGTCCTTGTCCAAAGAAAAAATGAAATATCTTCATGACAAATACATTTGGAACAAAGAGTTCAAGGTGGGCGATCTTGTATTGTTGTTTAACTCAAGGTTGAGGATGTTTCCCGAAAATCTAAAATCCAAGTGGAGTGGTCCTTTTGAAATTGTGGGTGTGACACCTTTTGGTGCATTAGACTTGAAGAATAAAAATAATGAAATTTTCCGAGTCAATGTTTACCGGGTGAAGCATTACTTGAGAAAGTTTGGAGATAGCTACGTGGTGGCAGTCCTTCACTTCATTTGAGGATTTTCTGTGTCATGTCGCGACGTTAAATTAAGCACTTCTTGGGAGACAACCTATGTTTTTTTTCCTTTTTATTTTGTAGTTGTGTGTTATTTTTGTTCTAACTTGATTTGAAGTGTGCTACAGGGGTGAGTGTGACTTACAAGATTATTGGACAAAAATATGGCTAAGTGTTCAAAAAGTATAGACCGCACTTTATTTGTGTGGAACGTATATTTTTAGGTGCCATAGCAGATGAGCATTGCGGCCGCACATTTATCTTGCGGACCGCAGAATTGAAATGTCAAAAATACCAACTCTCTGAAGTTTAAGCTTGTCAGTGCGAAGGTCGATCTGCGACCGCATGTGAAATCTGCGGGCGCACCCAAAAATGTGCGGACCACAGATCTGGTTCTAAAGAATTTTCACCGAGGTGATAAGGTGCGGACCACACTCGTCTCTTCTCCCTTCTCAAAATTTTGGGTATAAATAGAACAAGGTCCTCATTTTACATTTTTCCCTCTTTGAACAAAACCTTGTTACTCTGCAAATTTTTCTTGGAGAATTTCACTGTCCACACACACAACCACCTAGATTACTACTCAGTGAATTCGCTCTATCTAGTATGCTTCAATTTTATGCTAATTTTTAAGTTAGTTTAATTTGTAGATTTGTTTAGTTCTTTTTAGGCCATTTGTTATTAGAGTTCTATTGTGTGTCCATGTGGAGTAGATCTGAACTAGGTTAACTTGATACATGGTCTACTGGGACTGGTTAGTGAAATTTCATGCTTTTACAATGTTTCCATGCATATTTGTGCTAGAAATTGAAAAATCTTAGAATAAAAAAAGTTG